GCTCGTCCTTCGCCGCCTGTTGCTCTTCACTGGCGGGCCGCAGGCGTCGTGCGCTCGCGCAAGCGCGCCGACCCGCTGCGTGGCGCTGCGTGTGTGAATGATTCGAATTTTTGTTTTCCCTGATCGAACACAAAAAAAACTGCGGTCTGCACTGGTCTCGAGGGGGGGGGGGGGGCACGGGCTGGACACGTGGGTCTCGTGTATCGTGTTTTGCGCGCGTGCGTAGTACGTCTTGAAGTTGCTTTGTCGGCTGTGGGTGTAGTATGTCTCTTGAAGTTGCCTTGTATGCTGAGCCTGAATGGATGAGCCCCCCCCGAGCGACCCGCACAGGCCGCGAGCAGACAGCGCCTGCTGGCCACCTCGAGACATTCGCAAAGAACGCTAGCTACATGGGAGGGCTTCGTGAAGGATGGATTGAAAAACATTCGAACAAAGAAGAGGCGACGGGAGGAACCGGCAGAGGATACAGTGACGTGACACACACACACACACACACACACACACACACACACACACACACACACACACACACACACACACACACACACACACACACACACACACACACACACATACACACACCGCTCACCCACGCGCACCGGGCCTTGCACTTTAAATGCCGTGGGGCTCCTGTCGTTAGACGTCTCCCGGAGTGGAAACGATGGGCTTGCCCATCCCGGAGTGGTTCGATCCCACATGAATCCGAGACGGTGGTGGGAGGCGTCTCGGTGATCTCAGACCCAGTGAGGCAGTGCATCAGACTAATCCCGGATCCTGCTGAACAAGCTCCTCTTGTAGCTCGATCGGTCACACCGCCATCGCCGTCGGGGAGAGGGGGGACGACACTGCCTCGGCAGCGTGCACCTCGATCCTGTACCGTGTTTGTTATGACCCCCCCCCAATGAACACACCAGTGAGGGAGCGGGGCGAGACGATCGAGGGGTCCCGTGCCATGCGGAATCGACCCTATCCAGTGCTCTCAAGTGCTCAAGTGCTCAAGTGCTCAACAACATGCTACAACTTAAAGTGAAAAAACAATTCATTTTTGGATCGATGAACAGCTTTTTAAGATAAAAATAAGCGAAGGCTCAAAAAAGAGGTACGTACACTGAAAAAGATTGAATTCAGCGTTTGGATCAAGGAGAGGACGCGTGCGTGACAGGAGAGTCTTGTCGTGGAGCAAGGCTCTCAGCTCCCCGACAACCACCACCGATTCGTATGCGGTGCGCACCTGCTCGTCGCGGCTCTGACCGCACGGCGCGATCACTCACCACCACGCTCCCGGCCACCCTCAGGTCCACGGCGGTCCTCCTCATCTTCCTCTCCTTTGCCGCCGTCTCGGCGCTGCCCACCAAGCGCCGTCTCGACGACGTGGTCCTCAGCGACAAGGCAGCCCTCGCCGAGGGCGACATGACGCCAGGGATCGCATCCTTCGACAACGTGGTCCACGCCGTCAACGGAGCCACCACTAAGGACTCGGACGCGGAGAGCATCGTCTCCTCCGTCATGCAGCTTTTCACTGCCGTGGTCCCTGCCATGTCCTCGATGATCACTCAGCTGGTCGAGCTCTGCAAGTGACGCGGCGCTGCGGTTGATCACCGTGCCCGCCTCAGTGCGAATCAGCGCACCTCGAATAGTTGTCCATCGAAGTTGTCCATAAGCGACGCCGGCACCGGAAACTCAGGAGCCGCGCGCTGCGCAAGTGCATAGAGTGGAAGTCAAGAGTGACCCGCCAAATCCGCATGTACGCCGACGTATACGCAGTCAGCAGCTTTAAGCTCACTGTTCCCTTGCATGTGCTGCAATGCTACAACCCACTCCACCGGCATCCAAACTGCCCCAGCTGCCGGAGAGAGATCACCGACGTCTGCGAGGAATCTGGGGCGCAGATTGCCTCGCGACCCACGTTTTATCAGATGCGGCGCCCCCCAGCGCCACGCGCCGCGCCCAGCTCCGCGCCAACCCCGCGGAGGACGTTCGTGAGGAGACAACCTCCAGAGAGCCAAACCCCGCGGAGGACGTTCGTGAGGAGACAACCAGAGAGCCAATAATGCAATAAAGCCCGGGACCAAACACGAGAGAGACGTGGGTGATGCGTTAAGTTGAAACAGATCCGAGATCGCACCATGCATCTGTCTCCCTCTGTGTCGCCGTCAAGTGCCAGTCCAAGCCCCGAACGACCGACCGAGCGACGTTCCAACGCGCCGGCGGCAGGCCGGCGGGGCACGAGGCAGGCGCGGCCCGGCCAGCGCATTCATCATCGGGGCATGGAACGCGCGTGTGTATCGCGCCCCTTGCGGGGGGGGCGCGGAAAAGAGGAACCTCTTAGCGCCATCGCCACGGTGCTGCATGCAGCGCCGGGCGACGACGGCTTACCGCCTCCCGGTCCCCCTCGGCACACCTCCGCTGCTTAATGTAACGCGCTACGGTACGGTCGGTAGGAGGTCGGTGCGATACCCCCGCTCCTGCGCGAGGCCGGCTCCTGCTCCGCCGTGCGCTCAAGAATGGCCGGGAGCTGTGCAGTTCGCGTCCCCCAGATGAATGCGTCGCTGATCGCGCTGCTCGCGACGCACGGCATCACCCTGGAGGCGCTCGTGCCCATCGGCGCGGCAGTGCGTGGCCTTGATCTGCGCAAGACCCCGCCGAAAGATGTGCTCAATGCTCTGGAGTCTGTCATGGCGGATCGAGGTTTCCTGGTGTTCAAGAAGCAGGGCGTTTTGAGCGGCGCGGAGCAGGTGGTCGCTTCCGAACTATGGGGTGCACAAGAGATGCACTCGACGCACGGCGTGCACCCGCAAGCGCCAAATCGTCACATCTTCCGCCTGTCGAACGATCGGAGTGTGGGCATTCTTGGGGTCGGCCCGCAGTGGCATAATGATGGCTCGTTCGAGCGCGCTGTCTTCTCCCACGTCGGCTACCACATCATTCGAGTTGCCGAGAATGGCGGAGGCACCATTTTTGCGCATCAGGGTGCCGCCTTCGATGCTCTACCTCCTGAAGAGCAGGAGCGGTGGCAGCGGCTCGTCTCCGTGAATTCGAACTCGGGCGTGCTCCACCCCGTCGTGCACACGCACCCGATCTCGAAGCGCAAGAGCGTCTACCTCCACCTCGGCATGACGGGTGCCGTGCTCGAGGTAACGCCCGACCCAGACGAGCCTAGTGCAGTCAAGGGGCTGCGGCTGCTCGAGCACGATGAGATGCGCCATCTCTTCCAAACTTACAACGCGTTACTCAATGCTGGCTTCGAGCCCGGGAAAGCCGATCTGCTCGGTGCCGCGCCTCGCTACGGAGTTTCGGTGGAGATCAGCGGTCTCTCCGCCAAGCCCGAGCTCAACGGCAAGCGCGGCGTCGTGAAGGGAGTGCTGGACCGAGAGAACGGGCGCGTGGCGGTTGATATCGATGTCGGCGATGGTGTGCTGAAGAGGCTCGCAATTAAGCCAGCAAATCTGGTGGTGCAGGCGGTGCTTGGATCGGAAGCAGCGGCGAACTCGGCTCCGGTAGAGGGAGCGGAAGCTGAGGCAGAAGGCGATGGAGCCTACACCGCCGTGTACGAGTATGCAGAGGGCGACTGCATCTTCATCGACAATCTCGCTGTCGCGCACCGCGCGGCTCCCGCTGCGCACGAGTCGTCGGACAAGCGTGGGCTTCGCATCCTACACCGCACGACGATCAAGGCTCCGCAGTCCTTCGACCCGCCGTTCGGTCTGCCGTGGCAGCTGAACATCGTCGGGCCCAATCCAATCAAGGGGGACACAGGCGTGTGGCAGGGCGGCGGTCTCGGCTTCCGATGGGACGAAACCATCCCGATGCAGAATTGAACCGCTCGTGGAGGAAAGGGGTCCAGGGCAGGGCATGGTCAGCTCACCTTTCGATTGAATATGCCAATATTCTTACGCGCATGACTCTGTTCTCATGGCCGTAAGTTCGCTGTTTGGGGAAAACGCTGATGATCCCGCGACCACACACACACTCTTCCCGCACGTGAAACTGCACATTGCCACGGTCGTGCGCGACAGCGAGGGACTCGCCTCAATCCTCAGAGTCTCGGTGTGGGCCGTATCGATCCGCCGCTCGGCGTCGTTACGCTCAGCAGGTGCTCGCCTAGGAGCAGCCGCTGGTACTCCGGCTTGTCGATGAAGCCCGAGAGGTCGCCATCGTATGCAACGAAGGCGCGTCGCGCTGCTGCGGCGTCGCCGGCGCCGTGCGCAGCAAACATTCTCTCCAGCTCGTCGAGTGTGAGCCTGCCGTCGCCGTCCAGGTCGGCCGCGTCGAACCAGGCCTCGGTCACGATACACACGAGCGGCGCTTGCACCACGTATTCGGCGACGTCGGCGTCGAGGGAGAGCAGGGACGTTTCGAGCAGAAAGTTCTTGAACTCTCCAAAGCTGATCAGCTCGCCGTCGGGCAGAAACGCTGCCAAGTGACCAACACGGCTGCGGTCAAGAAATGCTCGCATCTCGTCAGCTGTCAGTGTTCCGTCGCCGTCCGCGTCGCAGCTCCTATGCACGGCCTCGAGCACCTAAGAGAACCAGTCAGCGTTGGATCGCAGAGATGAGCCGGAGCGTTGAGCGAGATACAGAGACATTCGTGCACATCGTTGAGCACCACTCGCTCGTGATGCGCCGCTGGAAGCTTCGCGGCGGACGAGACGATGCTGATGCGCTTGATCTCGCCGCCGCGCAGCACACGATTGATGAAGTCTATCAGCGTCTCGTCGGCTTCGCCATCAGTCTGGGCGTTGCCGTGCATGCCATGCCATGGCGTAAACAGCGCGTTGGGGCGCGGCAGCACGGCGGCATGCACGGCCTGCGAGTCTGGCGAGAATGCAACGCAACGCTCAACGCCCGGGTGTGTCGTGAGAAGATCCTGCGCCCTGGATGCCGCAGCATGCGCTGCGCGCGAAAGGCGCCGGAGCAGCGGCTGGGCCTTGTTCGGAGATGGCAATCGGGACACAACCATCGCGGGCGCGCCCGGACGGCCGGAACGTACGCACAAGCGCGAAAATGAGATGCCCCAGCTCCCAGCGGCTACCCAACGCGGCCAAAGGATATCCACCTCGAGAACCTCGAGAACCAGCGACTGTGAGAGAGAGAAAAGAATTTTGAGCCGGCACTCCTCACGTCCGCCTCGTTTGCTGGATCCTTTGCTTCTGCCTCCTCCCCTCTTTCATGGGCGCGCTCTGCTCCTGCTGCTGCGGCACGCGCGACGTTGTGCCTGACGCGCCCGACGTCATCATTCCCGATCCGGAGGAGGACGAGCAGATCGTCGTCACGATCGATCAGGCTGCGATCGCGAGCCGCGACTACCTCGCGTACCGCGGGCTCGGCACGGAGGACCGGAACGAGCGCTGGTTCTTCCTCAACAAGTCGGGCTCCAAGTGGGGCGGCAACGTCCAGATGGAGGTCGAGAACTTTGTTCGCGGCCTCGACCCGAACGACGAGAACAAGGGGCAGGTGCTGTGGCGGTCCGACTTCATCGACCAGCCCTTCTTCCAGCAGCAGCTCCGCGACGTCGGCGGCAGCATGCTCCAGTTCGCCTTCACCGGCTTCATCGACTCGATGTTTGACCGGCCGCACTACGACGACGGCGAGTGCCCCTAGAATGCAGCCGCATTCGGCTGCGTTCAGCTGTATTCGCTGCCTTGCATTCACGCGGTGCTCTGAGTACACGGCACGAGCCCGTCCTCCCGCCCTGATGCTGGCGTGTCCCACTGCAGGCTACTACATCTCGCACGGCGGCGGCTGGGACCGCGACTACCGCACCTCCCTCTTCCTCAACTGGAACATGCGGACCGAGGCGAGATTACCCGAGATTGCCCGAGATTGCCCGAGATTACGGCACCTCTTCCTCAACTGAAACATGCGGAGCGAGGCGACGATCTCTCTCTCCGAGGCGAACATTTTTATAGGCGAACAATATTATATTGTTCGTCACTGTCTTATAGGCGTCGCTCTCCTCGACGGTGCGCAAGGGGTTCGGTTTCCCGGTCAAGCTGGTGGTGTACGCGCAGGGCACCGGTGTCGCGCGCTACTTCGAGGTGGAGGACACTCACTCACTCGCACACACACACACACACGCTCGCTCCATCACTCGCTCGCTCCATCACTCATTCACACACACACACACACACACACGCACGCACACACACACACACACACACACACACACACACACACACACACACACACACACACACACACACACACACCCACACGCGCTCTCCTGGAGGCATGCACATTGGGCGGGGGCGCGCCACGCAGCACACAGGGGCGACAGGACAAGCACCCCCCACACATACATGCACATGCACATGCACATGCACATGCACATGCGCATGCACATGCACAACATGCACATGTGCTCTCTTCGAGGTAAAGTAGACACAGGGGCGACAGGACAGGCACACCCCACGCCGGGGCACGCGCGCGACCGGCAAACAGCAAACCGATCGGTGGAGGAGCCCATCTGTGTCTCCCCATATCTCCCCATATCTCCCCATATCTCCCGTCAGGTGGAGGAGCCGATCTACGAGGAGCGCGGCCCTAGAAGCGGACTATCTCCCCGTATCTCCCCATATCTCCCCCATGTCTCCCCATATCTCGGGCTGCTAGAAGCGGAGTATCTCCCCATATCTCCCCCGTATCTCCCCATATCTCCCGAGCAGGAGCAGCGGGCCCTAGAAGCGGAGTATCTCCCCATATCTCCCCAGATCTCGGCCCTAGAAGCGGAGTCTATGGTCACGCCACGTCCCAGCCAGCGCTCGAGAGGACACGGAGCCGACTTGTATTCCGCCGTCTTCGGCGGTACTCCTCGCTGCACTCGCAGCCCGTGGGCTGGCGCGGTGCTCGGAACACTACAGACCCCGCCCTCCCCGAGGTTGGCGTGCTCAAGCCTTGTAGGAGCGCGGCGAGGGCGAGAACCGGCAGCGGGTGCAGGTGGGCACGCGCCGCCGCTGGGAGAGGCACACGGGCGCGTGTGCGTCGACTTTATGATTGACAAGGACTAAGTCGTGGTCAATCAGCTATCAACAGGCACGAGCGCGAGTACGTCGACTTCGTCCAGTTCGCCGTGTGCGACCTGGCGTCGGGGCAGCCGGTGGTCGACCAGTTTGGGGCAGCCGTCGTGTTCACTGTGCACGGCGACTCGACCGACTGGACCAACAACTGCAGCACCAATGAGATTGGTGGTAACAGTGAATTCATCATTGGCAGGCGACTCGACCGACTGGACCAACAACTGCGGCACCAATGAGATTGGTGGTAACAGGGAATTCATCATCGTGGCAGGCGACTCGACCGACTGGACCAACAACTACGGCACCAAGTTCTTCGACGTGCAGCAGCGCGGCGGCTGGTTCACGAAGGACCCTCCGACCATCACGACCAAGGCGGGCGGCGCATTGTTGTTGTTGTTGCTATTATGTCCATCACTATTATCACTTCTGTTACTTATTATTTGTCACGTTTCTTCGCCCACCATCACGACCAAGGCGGGCGTCGACCCTAATTAATCATTAGTTAGTGACTAATTTGAACGATTAATTATTCACGACCAAGGCGGGCGTCGACCCGGCGCTGGCGCTGCTCATCGCGCACCTCTGCACCAAGGAGCGCCAGCTAACTAATGATTCGTCGTTTACCTACTCGCTAATCTCTCCTCACATCTCCCATATCTCCATATCTCCCCAGACCTCCCATATCGCGCCGTCTGCACCAAGGAGCGCTCCAAACGAGAATGGACGAGACACACACACCGAGAGAGCGAGCGAGAGGGAGAGGGAGAGTGCGTGTGACGGCATGCCGTCGTGTTGACTTTGCCCCACAAGTCCCTCACACACCTCTACGCCCTCTCTGCTGACAGGAGTTCTCGACCGCCCAGATCAAGTCCAACTTCCACCCGCGCTTCCCGTACGACCCGCTCAGTGCCGTGTTCGGCTTCTTCTGAGCGCGCGCGAGTGCGAGTGTTCGCTCACTGGCTCACGCACTGAATCGATTGTTCAATACCGTATCGGCCGCCCCCATTCGCCTCCGGCTGTTAGTGCGACCCGCGTACTGTACGGACTCCTTTCTCCCTACCCATTTGCATGCAGCAGCGCCACACGTACGTTCAACGTTGCGCTTCACGAGAGAGTGCGCTAGTTTGTCGGGAGGTGGAGGGGCAGGCTGCTCACCCACGTGCACCGGGCCAGTGCTTGCACTTTGAATGCCGTGGGGCTCCTGCCCGTGTCCGGGTGTGAAGATGCGAGGGTCGCCCCCCCTTGCCCTACCATTTTGTGTGTAACTTCGATCGTTTCGTGTCTCTGCCGGTGCCGCGCCGCGCGCGCAAAAGAGTCTCGCGTCGAGTGCGGAGTGGCTCTGCGTGTGCGCGCGTCTGTGGCGTGATAAGCCGTGCGGTAGCAAGCGAGGACGTGCCTTGTTTAACCCCGCCGGCGGATCTGGCCGGACGCCCCGCCTTTAGTTTATGAGTACGGCTCTACTGGTCCCAGTATCATGGGGCACACATGGCTCATGGGCGTGGCCGTGGGTGTCACCTCGCTCGGTTCACGCAGCTGAGGCCGTCTCGGCCTCGGCTTCCGCCGCAGAGCTTCGGCTGACGCGGCACTGATCCGCCGCCTCGACCCACGAGCCGCGGCACGCACGCACAGGCTTTAGCCCCGACTCCATCAGCTCCGCAAAGTGGTTTACGTTTGCGGCCACGCCCGGCTTTCCCCGGGGTTCCAAGAACCCGTCGGATCGCCCAAACTCTCCAGTCGTCGCCGCCGCAGCGAGCCAGCTCGACTGCGGATCGAGCGCCTCGTCGACAAAGTCCACGCACGACTTGTGGAAGTCGTCGATGTGGACGGGCGGCGGGCCGATGCCCTTCTCGTGGCAGACCTTGCCCCAAAACCGCTGGTCCATGAGCAGGATGCCGGTGACGCAGACCGGCTTCTTCATGCGCATCGCCTCCACCGTCGATCCGAGCCCGCCGTGGACGATGAATGCGTCCATCTCTCGGAAGAGCACGCCAAAGTCGGCTCGCGCCGCCTCGAGCAGCTTGCCGTCGGCCTTGAGCTCGTCGGTGCGCGCCATAAGCGCCTTGGGTGGCTTATCCTGCTGCTGCGGGCCGACGTAAATCAGGCTCATCGCATGCTTGCAATGGTCTACCATCTTGACAGCGCACTCGAGCATGACTGCGCGCGGCACCGGCATTGATGAGAAGGTCATGAGTACGAGCTTGCGGCCGGCCTTCCGCGCTTCGTCGCAGAACTGAGCGACGTCTTGGCTGAGCTTGCCGGCGCCGGGCGCAGAGGAGCGGAGAAAGATGAAGTCGGTCATCTCGATTCGCGGGTTCCAGTCGCCGGGCATGTCAAAGGTGCCCGGCAGCATTGGAATCACCATCGGGATGTCCTGCTCGAAGACGGAGCGCCAGGTGTCGGAGGGGGAGAGGCCGTAATAGCCGCGCAGCTTTGGGAGCGAGAGGGAGCTCATTGGAGCCGATTCGAAGCAGGTCTTTAGGGATTGCAGCGCCGCGTGCGAGGTAAAGTAGCCCTTCTCCACTCGCTCGAGGAGGCTGAGGCCGTGCGACTCGATGGGGATCACGTTCCGCCACTCGGGGTCACGGCTCGGGATGCACGTGGGCTGCAGGCAGAAGGCCGCGAGCGGGATCTCGAAGCGCTCGGAGAGCAGCAGGCCGACACCAGTGAGCGTGAACCCCGGGACGAGCAGGTCGATGGCCTGCTCGGTGCCGGCGCGCTCAATCATCGTAGCAATCACGGGCGCGGAGGCGAAGAAATTGGACTCGGCGGCGGCCATCATGATGGTCTGCATCACCTCCGTCTTTGCCTTCATTGCCTGGCCAGCGACCCAGGTGGAGGTCTGCAGCGCCGTGTCCCCGCCCGAAGGTAGGAAGCGCACCGCGCCGTCGCCGCAGCCGTCAGTCGCCTTGCCCTCCACAAAGTCCTTCCACGCCAGCTCAGTGCAGATCGTCACCAACCAGCCCCTTTGCGACGCCATACCGCGCGCGAGGGCCAAAAAGGGCTGTACATCGCCGCGCGTGCCACGAGACATCATGAAGATGTGTTTCGGGTACTGCTTCGTGGCGGAAGAGGCTGCCGCGCCGCTCAACGGCCGCCCGCCCAGCTGCGCCGAAACCTTGAGCTCGCATGGGGTCGGCGGGTTCGACCACCGGAGCACGGGGTCTCCGCTGCGGTTCTGCATGAGTAGGGTGTGGCTCGGCTGCTTGAGCAGCTCTGCCAGCCGGAGCTCCGCCTGGCCGATAAACTCGTTGGTGCGGTCGGTCGGAAGCAGGTGATCCTTGTCCATCATCTCGAACCGCACCGTCACGTCGCTCGGGTTCTGGGAGAACCCATCCAGCGGTATCTCGTGCTCCCAAACCGGGTCGGCGGTGCCCTTGATTATGGGTGTGGCTGCGGAGAAGGCGAGGCGGCCGTCGATGACGGCGCTTACCTGCACATACGTGTCCGAGTGGCCTATGACGTCCATCTTGGGGACCGCCGATGCCGAGTGCACCACAATCGTTGTTATCTCCTCGCGCGGCTCTGGCAGCAGGACACGTAGCAGCGTCAGGGCACGGGCGCGAGCGGCCTCAGAGATATGGTACAGGAGATCGGTCCCGGCCTTTCTCGCCGCGGCGAGCAGGCTGTAGATCCGGCCTGAGCCCTCGCCTCGGAGCTTGAGTAGCGCCTCCATCGCTCGGGACGCGCGTTGCGCTCATCCAGCGGGATGGATCTGACTATCTTTTGCGGCTTTATACAACCCCTTACGCACTCTGAGCACAGGGGCTCTCACAGCACACTGTCCCGTGAAGGTTCACGGGGCCGACTACAGTGTACAATATATGGAGCAGAACCTACGATCCGACGAGACCGCCTGCACCGATCGCACAACTACCGGTATTCGAGTTAACACTATCAGTTACGAAACGGCAACACGGCGTGCCGACCGACGACATATACATGGCAGGTGTACAACGTGAAACCGCTCGACCCCTGCCATTGAGGCGGAGGCGATCGGCTGATGAAAAATAAGTGTCGGTTGCACACAGAATATGTTTCTGTGTGCAACCGACCATTTAGAACCACATGTCGCGGCCATTCGGGTAAATGGCAGGGGTCGAGCGGTTTCGAAAATGAACGTTCCTGTGTATACTTAGCCAGAAAATTTTAAGAGTTCCCGCTATGGTCTCGGGATTCCTATGCTTGCCCTATGCCGCGTCCGGTGACACAAAGAATGGGTATGCGTGTAAGAACTCGTAAGCCAGTTTTGGGAAATCCCATGCACAAACCACAAAGAGGCCCCATGAATTCCCATGCCAGTTTTGCGAATCTCAATCGAATACCTACAGTTCATTTTATATAAACCTACATAGGTGAGTCAAAGAGAAAGTGAAAATCGTGTCCCATACCACGTGAGGAGCCCGAACCCTGGGCTGCTCTCGTCCCACTCCCACGGTGCTCAGCTCACCCGCTCCTTTCCAACGGCGGTGGCGACGAGACGCCGGCGCCAGCGCTGACTTGGGAGCGGCTGCACTCGGAGGTGCACCCGGCCGGCACCGCGGCGGGCGGCGCGCTGCCAGCCTCGCGCGTGCAGCGGAAGTGCTGGCAGATTGAGTCGCTGCGTTTGGGTTGTCTGCTCCATGAACTCCTCCTGCCTGCCCTGCCCGCCGGAGCACCTCCCTGTTCAGTACGGTGGCCATCCCGCATGCGAGCGATGCGGCGAGAGTTGGCTTCGGCGGCCTGGCTGCGCGGCCGCAATCGTTGACCGGCACGTCGAGAAGAATGGCGGCACGACGATGCGAACGCTGTTGGAGCAGGTGAATGCACGCTGGCACGGCCGCTGCGCCTTTGTCGGCTACGCCTTTGATCGGCGGAAGGTCGAATCGATCCTTCGCAGCGGGACGCGCGTGTGCGCAGAGGCGCACGGCGCCGTCGGCCCGCGCTTCTGGGAGAAGGAGCTGCCGCAGCTGCGTGCTCTCCAGCTGAGGGTGGGCGCGTGCAGCGGCATCAAGGTTGTGCTGCGCGTGCGCGAGCCCTTCGCGTGGTACGTGTCCTGGTACCTCTGGGAAGCCGCGCTCGGCGGCAGGCAGAAGATCAACGCGAGCTCTCTGCCGGGCAACCTGCAGGCGCGCATCCTCGCCTCCGGCTACACGAGTACCCGGCACCTCTCCGAACAGCGAGGCCCTCTCTCCCCCGGCGAGTCGGCGCGCGCCCGGCGGGATGTCATGTTGCAGCGGCGCATTTCTTTTTTTAGGCCCTCTCTCGCCCGGCGAGTCGGCGCGCGTCGAGCTCGCGCTGCGCACTGCCGACTTGGTGGCGCCGACGGAGCGCTTCCGCGAGTTCGCCGTGCTCGCGTCAGTGCTTGTGGGTGGCTGGCTCAGCCCGACGTACCATTCCGCAAACCGGGCGCACGAGGGGGTCGCCGGAGACGGGGCGTGGGGCTGCGGCCCTCGTGCCGGGAATCGAGACGCCCTCAAGTGCTACGCGCTCAACGCACGCGCCGAGATTCCCCGAGTTCCCCGAGATTCCCCGAGATTAACCGATATTACCCGAGATTACCCGGGACTACCCGAGATTGCCCGAGATTGCCCGAGATTGCCCGAGATTGCCCGAGATTGCCCGAGATTGCCCGAGATGACACGCGCTCAACGCGAGCGACCTTTGCGCCGAGGCGGGACCTCTCTCGGACCGTTCCTGTAACGTTCCTGGAACGTTCCTGTGTAGGCGAGCGACCTCTGTTCCGAGGCCGACCCGGCGACGCCGCGCTGCCGTGCGCTCGTGCGCTCAGCGGCGGCCGATGACCACCGGCTGTATGCCCTCGCGGTCGGCATGTGGGTGGTCGCGCCATCTCTCCCCATATCTCGCCATATCTCCCCAGATCTCGACTAGGCGGTCAGCATGTCGGAGGGCCACAGTCCACGCATGAGGGAGGTTGACCGCGTTGGCTCGACGGTGCATAGGCTGCACGGTTCGACGCCAGCTGTGAACAGCGTCTCTTCACACCTCTGGCTGTGAACAGCGTCCATAGGTCGCGCGGTTCGACGAAACGCTCGCTGCGCACGACGGCCCCGCCTTCCGCGCGCGGCCGCCGCAGCGCATGTTTCTTTTCTGAGGCGCGCGTTTCTTTTGTATTGCAATAGGCCCCGCCTTCCGCGCGCAGCTCGCGTCGCACGCGGCGGCGGTCGACGCGCTCGAGCGGCGGTCCTGCCAGGCGTACTTGTGACCCCCCCTTCCCCCCCCCTCCCGCCCACACACACCGCCCACACTCTGTCGTCTAGACGTGGAGCCGCGAGGGACTTGCCCGGCCCTCGCCCCACCACCTCGTGTGTGTGGAGAGGTTTTGCCTTACCTCACCGTACCTTACCTCAGGCGTACTTGCCGTGCCGGCGGGCGACAGCCGGCACGCGCCGACCGCTCGAGTGTGCGAGGGGGCTGGCCAACGCCAACCCGGACATGAACCCGCGCATCCACGAGCAGCTCGCCACGTGCGCCGCGCCGCCGGAGAGCCCGCAGCACACGAATGCGCCGCATCGGCGACGAAGCGGGACTAAGCCTAGGACTAAGCACGGATGAGTCCTAACCTGGTTTGTGGAGCTCCCACAGATGTTCTGACAGAGACCTGGCCGTTCTGACAGCGTTCTGACAGCGTTCTGACAGTGTTCTGACAACGTTCTGACAACGTTCTGACAACAGCGCAAAATCCTCCCCTCTCTTCACAGCTCAGGGGCTCTGACATTCCCAGTTGCCCCGCTCCTTCCCTCTTCCTGTCTTGAAGTCTCCCTCCGAGCCACGGACGGACTCAACACACACAACACGTCCTCCCAAGCGCCAAGGCGACACTCTCACGTTGAGGCGTAGGCCTTGTTCTGACACAAACTTGGTCCCCGTTCTGACACAAACTTCAACTTTCAACTTCGAGTCCAAGTTTGCCTGTTCTGACAATCTGTTCTGACAATTTAAAAAGAAATGCCCTTAGAGACACCAAGCGGGAGCGCAAACAGCTGTAACCGTCGAGCAGGAGCACGCCACAAGACCGCCATGCTGGCTCGAGGCAGCAAACGCGCTCTTGGGATGGTCTGCTCCGCAGCCAGGAGCCCCGCGACAGAGCCGAAGAAGCCGCGGCCCGGCAGCAGCAGGCCGAAACGCCGCAGCACAAAGCGCAATGCGCGGGCCCGGCGGTCCAGGTAGACGCGAAGGCTGCATCCAAGACGGCAGCCTCGGGTCACGCGCGACCGAACGTGCCGCTTGCGCCGCCGCCGCGCCGTTCTTTGGCACCACCGCCAAACGGCCCTTGCTCCTCCGCGACACTCGCCGCAGAGACGGCGCTTGTCGCCGCCAAAGCAATAGCAACAGCGGTGGCAGCGAGACTTAACGTCGGCAGTGCGGCCTCGCCGCAGCCTGGCCGGCGCTCGCCTTGCCCAGGCGGCCGAGCAGGCGGTGCCCGCAGCCGAGGCAGATCAGCGGGATGGGCTCGAGCGGGCGCCGCCGCCGCCTGGCGCCGCGCCCGCAAAGGAGCCTGCAAAGGCGGGGGCGATCGGCGAGGCGGTGGCGCTCGCACCAGCCGTCTTGCAGATGTTCACACTTCGCCCGCTCTCGGGCAGTGCTGGCAACGTTCTGACAGTACCCTACCCACAAAAGTGTTCTGACAGCGTTCTGACAGCGTTCTGACAGCGTTCTGACAGTGTTCTGACAGTGTTCTGACAGCCGTTCTGACAGCTTTCCGACGGTAATTTGCAGTTAAGACTCACCATCTGGTCTGATTAAAGGAGAGCGATCTCAGTGTCGGTTACAGCAGAAAGATTCCTTAATTCTCTCCACTACAAAAAAAGTCCGGTGGGGAACCGACATCATGGCTCCGAATGCCGTGCTCTCTAGGTCATCTGTGGGAGCTCCACAAACCAGGTTTCCTATGGTTACACATCATACATGACATGCACATGGCATGGACATGTTTTTGGATGCCACCCGCACGAGGTAGGCGGCGCGCAGCGCCGCTCTCGCAGGCTGTGTTTTACTCTTTCTTGAATTTCTTCATTTTGTTTTCAGTCACAGTCTCCGTACCGGGGGGCCCCGACCCCCGCTCAGAGGCGGCGGGCGGGGGCCCACTGACCGAGAGGGACACTTACCTGTGAAGTGTGAACAGCGGATTTTGAATCAGCGTTCTCCTTGAACGATATCGGTGTCGAAACACCGCTCTGACAGCGCTCACAGCTGTGGATCAAATCGAAACACGCGAGGAGCAGGAGGAGTGAGTGAGTATTCTTGATACGAAACCACGACGACACACACCAGTCGACTCGCATCGGTTGCCTCCAAGCATGAACGGCGGAGCTATTCTCGCGTCCACACCACACCTGGCTCCAGCGTGGACACGCCCATAGCTGGGGACACTACTAGGTCACGCATGGCACACACACACAACAAACTCCTTACTTCAGCTGGGCAGTCGGCTGTCGGGCCTTCCATTCGCCCGAAACTTTTCTGAAAAGAAATAACATCGTTAACCGAAGGGATGGGAGTACGGCACACGCCACCACCACACAGGGATTTTGAGATTCCCTTCCTTTCACAGTTCTTTTTTTGCGAAGAAGCCGGTCCAGAGCGCGCCAGGAGGCTATTTCCTTGAAGCTAACAATTAGAGTTGTTTGGTATTGCTAAAAATGACCTCCGTGAAGCTGTTGCATCATGCCGGCA